AAAGCTTTGTGTATTCGTTCTTTCTAGTCCTTTAAATATGATAAACTCTCAATGCACGATGAAATGCATAGATTATATTTTCATTAATCTAGATCAGACTTCTTGGCCGAATTATTGTAATGAACAAACTGTTGCATCGATGGCCTCTCGAAAATTCTGAAATTGTTATTCATTATTTCCTCGAATTCCCTCTTTCGAAATATATCTTTCAATGCCATTGCTTACAATTATGTAAGCAGAGATATTAAAAGCAATATATCAATTCTGATTATATTACAGTATAGTCAATTTACAAAATAAAGATTTCAACCTAAAGTATTGTCCTTGTTTAATTTGGTTCTGCTAATAGATTAAATTAAAATCTAAATTAAAGTCAGGATCTACAATTTTTCAACCATATATTTCATTAAATTTAACAGAATCTATTAAAAAGCTAATTTTTATCTAAACCAAACGGGGGCATTGTGATCTATGACAGTTTTACTCAGATTTTAGTTGATATTAGAATTAATTAGATTCTTTTTAGTTTGAAGTTACTTTATTAGAATCAAGTATAAGAATTTCATTATATACCTTCCTAAAGCGATTATCAGATTTTAGAATGGCTAAATAATGTAATAGTATTAACCAAACATACTTGGAATATATGCGTAAACTCAAAAAGTATAATTATATCCACTGAATTACAATCTCATATATCCTTGTCACGCTTTATTTTATTTTATTTTATTTTATTTTATCACATAGTAGCAGAGTTGATAAACTTTTAGAGCTGTTAATATGCTAAATAAAGTTATGTGATATAATCAGTTTACATGATTCGTTTTGTTAGATGGACAAACTAAATAAAGTACTCTTTATTTCTTTTTGGAGAAATAGATGGACAAAATAAATAAATTATCATGTTGGACAAGCCATTTTGTACGTGTTACATGAATATTGTCTAATAGGCTCCTGCATCTTTTGTCAATTTTTGTATGCTTTTGTAATGGATATTAAAGATTGTCTTGACACTTTATTTTAAGTAATATGTGTTTAAAGGAGTGGGTGGTTCCCTCTATATATATATTTTGGAAAAGCTTGTTGCTTCTAAGGTTGGTTTATTCCATATTACTTGAGAAACTCTGTAAATTTACTTTTAAAATTCATTATAGTCAAAGCAAGTTAAAGATGGTTTTGGTGATTGATTCAATACCTATTTGGCATTCTTTAGTGACTTATTATGAACCCACTTGATTGGTGATCATCTCTACCGTTGATAGATATTATTTAGTTAGGGATGACAATGGAATAGGTTGGGGTTGGGGTTGGAGCAACATTTTCCACCTCCCGTCTCTCTGGGTAATTTCCCTCCCTGATTTGCCCCTTTACCTGTTTCAGGAGGGTCGGAGGCGAGGCAGGGCATGGCCCTTCCCCAGTTTATTACCTATTAATATTCCTTTTTATTATTATTTTTATTTTTTGATAATTTATTTTATTACCCCCATTCATTAAAGTGAAACATTATTAAATTTTTAATTAAATTATTTATTTTTAAAACTTAAATTATTCAAATATATTTGGTAAACTAAATTTTTATTACTTATCATATTTTTTAAATAATTTTAGTTGTCATATTCTATTAGAATTAATGAAATTTTGGGAGTTTTCCATTTAAAGTATTGAATTCTTAAAAAATAAAAATAAAATAAGACAGGGCCCTTGTTACCCGTACCCACACCTAGGTGAAATCCCTCCCCTCATCCTGGACCCGATTACCGGATTAAATGGGTAATTACCACCCCATTCAGGGCGCGGCCAGCAGGTATTGGTTCGATGAATTTTTTTGCCATCCCTACATTTAGTCCATGTTTGGGCTCCATTTTAATGAAGTTTCGAAAAAAATGTATTTTGTAATAGTAGTTTTTTAGATAATGTATAGTTCAAAAAGAATGAAAAGTTTCGAATTTATATGTAATATTATTTTATTGAAAAATGTATGGTTAAAAGGAGGAAAGAAAAAAATATATTAAAATTAAAATGGAGTCCAAAAAGGAGCTTATTCTAAAGAAATACAAAAAAATATTATAAAATGTGCGAGGTATGACTACGCGACAAGATCAAGCCTCAAAACTTATAATTTTATGCATGCCTGGACAAAGCCATTACATTTTTTCAAAAGAATGACCATCAAACAAGGGCTTAATACGGTTCCAAGAAGTTTGTGGTTACATTTGAGAAGGGAGTAAATTTCATTTGTGTTCAATGAACTTTTAGCAAAATCTCAATTGGATTATCAAATTATGGGCTTGTCTGGAGGAGATTAGTAGCAAGAATTTGACCGTTGAAAAGCAAAAAATTGACCGTTGAGTGTGGCAGGCGGGTCCCATGCATGAGAGCTCCAGTCAAAAAAGACGGTTGAAGACTGTGGCAACGGTAGGAAATTTATTTTTAATTGGAATGAAAATCTTTACCAGACAGCACCTATATTTTAGTGTCAGTTAGGTAACTAAACTTCAATTTAGTTTCATGTCACAACTGTCACATGCTGTTTCTAAATTATGAATTTTGTTTAGTTGACAGTCATACCGCAACAAATCTTGCAAGCAATCAGTGCATGACATTACAACTTACTATTACAAAACGTCACAAAAGTGTTCAAATAATTAAAAATATACATATTTTAACCTTTTAATCTAATAACATTGTCAGAAACTACATTTTAACATTCTCATTTCTAGAGTGCCACATAGCAATTGCCTAGAAGACCAATTAAAATATAACCGCCACTATGAAACTTCCATCAGTCTTGAGGACGATTGAAGATGCAATATTCAATGTACTGAGAAGAAAGTGATTTCAAATATACTTACATTATACCAAGAGGACTCCAAATTCTCTACCACAACTAAAGGTTAAGAAAAGAAAGACTCCAAGAAAGTATAAATACCGTTTCCATAGATTACACATCTGGTTAGTAAAACCAACAAATTGCACAAGTCAATAGATAAAAAAATCCTATATGTGTTGCATCCAATTGATGCACAAAGCAAAAGCAATGGTGAAGTATAAGGTCTTGCATTGTTTTATAACCTCAGCAGAAATTAGGGATCCTCCTGAAAG